GACCCAGAGAAAGAAAGTGACAACAGTGTCACAAGGCTGGATTACGGTTGAGCAGAACTAGAAACCAGGTGGGTTAAGTCCTGTCCCAGACCTCTGTTCAGCTCTTCTTAGACATCACTTATCATCAGCATCTACGGATACTTGCTGAGAACTCAGAAGTTGAAAAAGACAACTGTTTCTTGAGTACCTGGAACGTATAGACCCTTGTGTTGGATGTGGGGTGGGGGTGGGGTGACGGGTGGTCTGGTGCTATGGTGGCGGTGGGGAGGGAGGGGATGGTGCCAGAGTCTGTGTCCACGGCCTCCCAGACCCTCCCAGGCTTCTGACTGGTTTGGAAGGCACCACCCAAGCACCCCGAAGTTAAAGAGCGGTAAGAGAAGTCGATACAGTTGCCCTGGAGCCGGCTCAGAGCAATGTATGATTAGCAGCCAAAGGAGTGGTTAGCAATTGCCATAAACGTTCTGAAAAGGAGAGAGAGTGGTGCTGTGCCTTTGTTTAGCATGTAACTGTTTTCAGTGCTTTCCTGTGTTTGGCTTATTCAGGGCAGTCCTGAAGTGGTCTCTGTGTCTGGGGAAGTGATGGGATTTCCAGAGAGATGCACAGGATCCCTGCCCTTGAGAGACGTCCTGCCTTGATGGGCGGGGTTGGGGGGGGGCACGTAGTCACGTAATGCTTGTGTGAATGGAGGATTGGAATGAGGGACTTGGGGTTCAAGGGGGAGCAACGTTCTGCAGGTGTTTGTCAGTGCGCTGTGTGTGCTCTCAAACTCTTCTTACCCGTGAATAGGCTCCTAAGCATGGGACGGGCGGTGGGCTGGGGAGAGAAAGGCGGCTGACCAGGGACTGCCTGGCTCTGTGGCATCAGATGACTTGCTTAGCTTCTCTCTGCCTCAGCTTGCTCCTCTCTAAAATCAGAGGAATAGAAAACTTCTCGGATGCCCTCCAGCTGGAAGTTTCTTTATTCTAAGCATCTTACAATGATCTGTTTTTGAAAATTCGGATTCTCAGATACCCATCAGACTGCAGCTTCCTTTTGAGTCCTCTTTCCCTTATTTATCCTAAACTTTTATTTGGCACATTTATGATTATATTGTATCATTTGAACGCACACAAGGTCCTTGGACTGATGTCATCCCCCGTTCATAGATGGAAGGGGCAAAATCGGGGTTTACCTACTCTTCTCCAGCGCCAGATCCTGGAGCTGGAGAAGTTTTCGACACAGAGCGGCCACTGTATCTGCTCTGTGACAGGTCTCCTGGGGTATTGAACAGGGGAGACAGAGTTCCCTTTCCAGGGGCTTTTGGCCAGTCTCAGTCATTGCTAGGGAGTGCCGGGCACTCACGAAAACTGTGCTGAACAGAAATAAATGCCTAGAGCACTCTCGGGAAAGAGATCTGTGTGAGGTTCAAATGACCCTAGCAAGAAGGGAGAGCTGTACCATTTACACTTACAACCTCTTGAACAAAGGGCTCTAGGAGGGAAGAGATCTGCGCTCCCCCCACCCGCCTCAGCTGCCCCGGTCGAAATTACTTCTGTCCAACTAATTATGCCCAGAGACTTCGGCACCATGGGGTTGGGGTGGATGTTGCCATTCTGTTGCTCTCTTTAACTGAGGTAATTCAGGAGCACAGGGGGAAGCTGGGAGTACTCAAGTTGTATGTCAAGACCCTGAATTTAAGGGAGTCCTCATGGGTTCCCTCCCTCTTTGGGAGTTTTGTACTATCGCTCAATAAACCTTACTAGCACTCAGTCAACTTTGCTTTGCTGCCCACCAAAAGAAAAAAAAAAAAAAACCCTGAATTTAAGAGATGTCAGTTTGTCTGGGGTCTCTTAGGCTGGGAAAAGACCAACCCTTTGTAAGCCAGCACAAAGTCACTAGAGCAGTGGAGGAGGATGGAGGCTTCAGTCCGGTCGCCTTGTGCTAAGAGTCATGTTCAGTGTGGATCCTAGTCTAGAAGAAAGAAGGTGGGTAGGAAGCCACTGGTGCCTCTTAGGTGAGCGCATTACTCTGACTCAAAAGGGGACCCAGGACAAGCCAACCCTCCCGCTCGTCTTTCCCTCCAACAGCTGAACACCAGCTCTCCTCACCAGGGGCTTCTCAGGCTTATGTAGCACTTCCAGAATGCCTTGAGATCCACAGAGGAAGAGTGGTTGGGTGCCATTGTGACTCCTTTTACAGTGAACCCACAGGCTTTTTTGATTCATCGTCAGAGGCCCTCCCAGATTCCCAGGTCCCAGCCCTCCCCTTGAGGGGAGCTCAGTGCTGAGGGCCTATCCCAGGCATACCTCCCACCCCCATGGGGAACAAGTCTTGCTCAGAGCAGTGACACCTTGTCTCTCCTTCCCATCCCTGAGCATCACTGCCAGATCACCTTCTCCCGGGTGCCTGCCCTAGCACTCACCAGGGTTTCCAACATCTCTGATAGAGATTCCCTGTGCCCAATGTCAAGATCACTCACTGTCTGGATGTCCCACAATCATTCTTCTCTTGATTTCCTTCTCCTGTGCCTTGCCCCCTTCCTTCACCCTTGCAGTGGTGGACACTGTCCTCCTCATCCTCTGCTGATCTCCAGCTGATTTGGGCTTCAGGTTACACATGTTACTTCTCCTCACTTCATCTTTTCTTCTCCCCCTGATCATTCGTTCAACAGATTCTCATACAGTAACTACTACCGTGTATAAGGTACTATGCTTGGCTATCAGAAAAGTGCCAAGGGGTATAAGATAGCTGATAGCTAGTCCCTGGTCGTGAGGTGCTTTTACAGGAAATGAAGTCTGTTAGGGACGAACACAACTGAACCCTGGAAGAGTTCAGAGGAGACAGGGTATTCCAAGGTGTTCCAAACTCTGCCCATGCTCCACGGCCCAGCACAGGGGCAGCCTCCTCCATGAAGCTCCCCTTGACTGTTCCAAGCCTCCATTTCCTGGAGTCCTAATGCACATTTTATTAGATACGACTTAACGATATCTCTGTTTCTCAACTGGACTCCCTACTCTTGGAGAGAAGGGATAAGCATTTGTCAGTTGGATTCAGTTTTCAGTTCCACAAACATTAATTGCATTCTCTCACTCTCTTCTGTCTCTTAACGTCTTATAAACTAGCACAGACGAGGTGTTTAGTCGACACATTATTTATTTTTGAAATGTCAAAATCCATACCAGCTAATTATGAAAAACAAAGCACTCAAAACTATGCCCCCAGGAGTAACTACTGCGCAGAGTTTGGAGTATATGCAGGAAGGAATCTTAAAAGACCATTTAATTCAGCATCCACATTTGACGAATGAGAACCTTAAGGTGACTTTAATATTTGCGGGATTAAGTTAAGTGATTTGCTCGAGGTTAATATTTAGACAGTGGTGTTCTAGCATCTTTTATCAAGAAGGATAGAGGAATAGTGGGGTACTCTGTACCAAGCAAATGTGTGAATAATCTTAGACGGGTACATGGGTTCTGACAGTACAGAGAAGAAACTTAATACAATAAGGTCATAAAACTCTTTGTCCCCATTTCAGATGTTTCACATTGGCCCACGGTCACAAAGCTTTATTGTGTTTATGAAACAATAGAATTAATTGTGAAAATACTACCTCTTTAAATATTTGAAATTAGAATGAAAAAGAATAGATGTAATAGATGGGGAGGGTGCATAAATTCAATTTAATAGTAATTGTGCTTCAAGTCCTGGGATGGACAAGTGGCCACAAGTCAGTTTTCCAGACCAGAGAGAGAAGTGGTGAGAAATCCAGAGCCTGGGGCCAGTGATGAACAGGGGCACAGGGTGGAGGGCCAGCCTAGTGGATTTTCCCACCATTGTGTGGTCCCTTCCCTCCTCGCCAGCCTGGGGAGGGTCCCAGTGGAGCCCGGGTTTAAGGCAGTGGTGTTATGCGGAGTCTTGTAACCTCGCTGGTAGATGATGTCACAGGTTACACGGGCCCAGATCGATGGACGACTCAGGCAGTGGATCAATCACATTTCCGGGGAGAATTCACCCTTTGTGACCCGCAGGGGGCCAGGTGGTTTATCAAAAGAGGCTCTGGTTTGAAGGATTTAATGCCGGCCCTTTCCCCATTCCCGTCTCCTTCTCGGGGAGCCTGGGCAGGCACAGCGGGGTAATAAACTACTTTTCATTACAAGGATCTGGGGATATGAGTGGGAAGGGAACGTAAAGGTGGGGACAAAAAGGCACAAATCCGCTCCACGACGGAAAGCCAGGACCGGGGCGCGCTGGGTTCACTTCCCCCCCGCCCCTCCTCCCTCAGAAGCCACCTCGAGTTTCTGCGCCGGGAGAAGTAAGCCAGTGCGGTGCCAGGCCTCGGGCTGTGCTCTGGGCGGGGCGGGGGCGCGTCGGCGCGCCCCGGCCTCGCGGGCTGGGCTGCAGCCCCCTCCCCGTCGCCCCGAGCCCCTCCCCCGGGCCTGGAGCCCCTCCCCGCGCTCTTCCCCTCTCTCCCCTCCCCTCCCTTCCCTTCCCTTCTCTTCCCTGCCGGCCCGGCCCTGCCTCCGCCTCCTGCGCCCACAGCCTCAGCCAGCGCCGAGCCCCCCGGAGCCGGAGCGCCGCGAAGAGGCGCCGTCAGCCCCTCCCCAGCGCGCTGACAGCGGGCTCCCGGGCCCCCGCCCGGTCCCCTAGCCGGCGGGACACACCCCCGCCCCTCCTCCGCTCCGCCAGTTCCCGCCGGACCCACCGGGCGGCGGACGGCGGAGAGAGCGGGCGGGCGAGGCGGAGAGCGGCGGCGGCGGCGGCGGCGGCGGCGGCGGCGCGGGAGGGAAGGGGCGCGCGGCAGGCCCACGGGGAGCCGCCCGGAGCGCACGGAGCCCGCGTGCCCTCCCGGACCGTCCCCGCCCCGAGGGTCGTACCTGTGGGCGCCGGGAGCCCGGGCAGCGGCGCGCCCGGCCGGAGTGGCGGGTGGCTCCGGGACCCGGGAAGCGGGAGAACAAGCGGGAGCCCGACCGGGATGAGAAGGTGACGCCGCCGGAGGGCGCCACTCGCTTTGTGGGGGGAAGATGCTGGCCTACTGCGTGCAAGATGCCACGGTGGTGGACGTGGAGAAGCGGAGGAACCCCTCCAAGCACTACGTGAGTACTGCCCCTACCGACCCCTGCGGGGGGTTGGCCAGAGACCCCCGGGAGGACCCCCCCCTCGGGGGGGCCCTCGCCCCACCCGCTAAGTCCCGGAGCTGAGTGCCACAGGGCAGCCCTCGGCTGTGGAGTTTTCTTCGCGAGGTTGTGATCTGCAGGGAAGCCTTCTCTGTCCTTTCTCCACTCCCTCTGCCCCCCCCCCCCGTTTTCTTTTTTTGGCATTGGAATTGGCAAGTGGCTGCCCTTGTCTGTTACAACGGTGAAGTCATCTGTCCGCTTGAGCTTTGATGGATGGTGGGGAAGCTTTCGTCAAACCCTCGCTGAGAAGCTCCGTTGGGAAAGAGCATCTCCCTGGCCCTCCCTGGGGGCTTGGGTAGCTCACGCTTACCCGGACCGTGATGCCTTCTGAGGTTCGCCCCCGGGGAAAGGAAGCCTGGCGCTGTCCTCCCCCGTTTGCCCCGGGCTCTGCCTCCCTAGGCCTGGGTCCCGGGGGCCTAGGGAAGCCGCTCCGCCCTCTGCCCCACCTCCACCCTCAGCCCTGAGCTTTGGTTTCCTTCTTAAAGTCATTGTGTCCGTCGGTGTGAGGAGAATTGTGGCTTTTCCTTTTATCCTTCTCTGGACGTGACCCTTAACCGGGTTCATTTCCTCTTAAGTGATGCTCCGTCTCCAGACACGAGGAGGCAAATGTTTGCTGTGGTCTCCAAGGAACGGCCCGCTGTCCCTCCCCCTTCCTTCCCCACAATTAATGAGAAGGGGCTAAGGTTGATTGAGCTGAGCTCTGGGGTCTGTGTGACGGGTCCGCCTTTCATCTCAGCCGGTCCTGTCTTCCCATCCTTCGCACCTTAGGAAGTAAACATGGTGTCCTTGACGGCGGAGGATGCCTGTCTAAACCGCTGTGCTCGTGTACTTGAGGCAGGAGGGACAGCCAGGCACCCAGAGCAGAAGGATTGCGTGTATTTGCAAATGAGGCACTTAAAGAAGTGTTTAGAATGCTCAAAGCATTAATTTAAACAAAACAGGTTGTAGTTTGCTGCCCTAGACCGCGCATTGATCTCTGAGAAATGCCTTTCATTTCCCTGTTGGAAGAGGACTGGGGTTTGTGCCAATGTCAGCCTTAGGCTACTCTTTCTGTCTTTATCACCAATAGGTCTGAACTTGGGGTTTGTTTTTTGTCTTGTTTTATTTGTTTGTTTTTGGAGTGGAGTAAACGGGCCTGGGCTCAACTTGGAGAGGAGTTAAACCAAGGAGGCTGGTTTCTGACCAGAGAGAGAGGTGGGTGCCCATGGGAGAGTTGTTCCTTTTGTGTTGTCTGGCTCAACAAGCAAGCATCTTCATTTCAAGAAAGCTACCATTTCAAGAAAGCTCTTTTTTGAAGGTCTTGGGGCACTGTGTGGTCACCCTGCTCCAGATACAGAGGTCCGTTTGCACAACCCAACACTTAGTATCAAGTCGGCCTTCCTAACCTTTTTTCTCAAATGTCACAGGCTAAGGTTTAGGGGTTGTCTTTTCTAGTCGTCAGTTAAGCCCGGCCCTACTTTCAACAGATGGCACTCTCTGCTCTGAGACCCAGGCAGGTGCTTTCTCCCTGCTCTTGATTTTAGGCGAAACTTCAGATCTTAGCTCTGATCAATGATGTCCAAAATTACAAGGTAGGGCGGGCTGGCAACAAGCCAGAAATGTTGCTAAAGCAACTGGGGACCCACCACAGATAGTACTGAAAGGTGGTTAGCTCTGGGGCTCTGAGGCTGAGGGTCTTGTTCAAAGCCTGGGTCAGCCACTAACTAGCTTTGTGACTTTGGGCAGGTCGTTTAACCTCTGGGGGATTCCGGGTTCCTCATTCTTTTTTTTTTTTTTTTTAAAGATTTTTTTTTTTTTTTATTTTGACAGAGAGAGATCACAAGTAGATGGAGAGGCAGGCAGAGAGAGAGAGAGAGAGAGAGAGAAGGAAGCAGGCTCCCTGCTGAGCAGAGAGCCCGATGTGGGACTCAATCCCAGGACCCTAAGATCATGACCTGACCTAACCCACTGAGCCACCCAGGCGCCCGTGGGTTCCTCATTCTTAAAGTGAGGATGCTAACAGTACCTATTTCATAGAGCTGTCTGGAGAATTAAATGAGATCATCCATGAAAAGCACTTAGCACAGTTCTTGGCATGTAACAAGCACTCGCTAAATGGTAGCTCTTTATTGGTGAGATTCTGAGTAAGAAAGTACTTTTGAAAAGCAGCTATTAATGGTCTGGCAAAAAAGAAAGAAAGATTTCGGGTTTTAAGACCGATAATAACTTGTTCTATGTGAAAAACACAAAAGAAGTCCTCTCTCATTCTCTTGAAATGATCATTTCCTCCCTTTCTATGGACAGTGTTTCCCAGGACATCTCTGCTTCCCATGTAAGAATCGACATTATGTTTGGGGCAGGGAGTGATGTCACTGAACACCCGGAGCCATACAAGCTCTAAACCACATTTGTTGTGGCAAACAAATAAAGGCGAGAGTGTGATCTGTTGTGGAACATGGCGCTGGCGGGACTCCTCGGGCTCAACCCCCTCATTTCACAGATGGGGAAGCTGAAAACCAGAAGGGTTTGTAAAGTCACTTGCAACACAGCCCTTCACAGCACCGGGGTTTACCTGGCATTTTGCCCATGGTGTGGGTTTTGTTCATCAAAGTACCCTAAGTCTGGTTGGAGTTGACTAGGTGATCTGGTAGATATCTGGTGATCGTCAGAGGTTCCTACCTATTCGGGGCATCAGTGGGGCATAATATAAGGACTGGGGGCCCCCTAATAGAAAGGGTCAGCAGGGCTAATAGAGGCAGGAGGAGCAGGCTGGGGGAGCCTGTGCCTCTCTTGGCCCTTGCACAGTGGACACCACACACCAGAAGGTTCTGGGTAAGGTACTCTGGCGTGGGTGGCTGGCAGGATACCTGCGCCCAAGTTACAGATGTTCTGGAAGCCCTCTGCGCTGGAGAAAGCATGCCTCCTTCCCCCCCTCTCCTCCACTGACGGTGAACTCTCCGTCTGTGGTTTGGCAAATTGCAAAGCAGAGAGGTTTTATGGGATGTGCACGTTAGCTGGGGCTGGCTGATGAGAGTCCTGGGGCCCAGGCAGGAGGGGCTCTGCTGGCTCCAGAACACTGGGAAGACACGGCAGAGTTTTTCTCAGGACATCCAGCAAAGGGCATGTTTGTCTCCAAGACAAGGAGGAGCTGCCTGAGCGCTGAAGGTCTGTTTATGAAAGGGCAAGTGGCTTCTATCATTCAGATGGTGCTGTCAGCCCTTGCTTCCTTCTTCTGTGCCAAGCCCCTACTTGGTTGGGGTTTGGGGAAAGTGGGCACCTGCTGCTTAGGCCAGGCTACCTGGCATGGAGTTGGGTTCCTCTCTTAGCTTTTTCGAGTTGCCCCACACCCCCACCCCGGGGAGACCTTAGGCAAAGTGGCTTTGGCCTCAGGCTACTTATCTTCCAAATGGTCCTGACTTGCTGGGTGCATTTGAAAGTCTTCCATGAGGCTGCTTGTGCAGGTTTACCATAATTCTTTGCATTCACGTGCATGTGTAGGCATATGTCAAGCCCTCTGGTGGTGGAGAGAACCTCATTTCTCTAGAACAAACAGATGATTTGTTTGGATTTGGGAAGCATTGTGCTTTTACAGTGGTTTCCTTTCCTGATTGTTTATTTCAGACAAGTATCAGTCATGAATGTTCTGGATCCCTTACAGGACTCTTTAGGGAGTGCAAATAATAATCAGTGTTAGTAGTTAACCATTGGTGGTGCCCCACGTTTAAAGTGTGTGATTTTATGTGATTCCTGTAGTTCATCGAATGTACCCTAAGGCACCCTAACCTGGGGTAGGTTCTTGGTGGACAGATGGGGGGATTTGGAGAGGCTGGAGATTGCCCAGGGTCTCCCAGTTAGGACAAAACAGATCCTCTCAGGTAGAGTTGAACTCAGGTTAGCTTGCCTCGCAAGGGGGAAATGAACCTAAAATGGGGTCCTTCCATCAACAGAATCAGGGTGGGGAGACCAGGCTCTGGCTTGCCTGTCTGCGCGAGAGCAGTGTAGAGTGTCAGGGAGGATCGTCTCTCTGTATGGGACGTTGAGCTCACGCAACAGAGCTGAGTTTGTGAAGGCAACAGAAGGCGAGCTCCGTGAAACTGGGAGAAAGGAGCAGGTCCAGGCTTATAGCTGGTCCCTGCTGATGCAGGAGGTGATGAATTAAGGATCAACACTGTGGAAATAATACATTCTCCTGTGTGTTTAAATCATCACACATTTGGTCTTGGTCCTGGGAGAACATTTTTAGGAATTGGCTCCAGACCAATTCATTTCTCTGCCCTTCAGTTTTTCTCTAAGCCCTTAGAGTGTGGATCCAAGCATTACAGGGGGAAAGGATGTGAAGCTGCAGAAGGGGCCTTGACCGGGCCAGTTCCATTTCCAAACGAGTATTGTGCGGCAGATCAGGGTTCAAATTCCGCCTCTGGCTCTTCCTGGCTGTGCCACCCTGGGGCCAGCCACTCTGGGCCTCAGTTTCCTCACTCGTAACCTCACAGGACTTTTGGAAAATTGATTTGAGATAATTTGGAGTAAAGTGTTCTACTAGTACCTGGGCCCTATCATGCACACTCAGTGTTTCCACCTGGTGTCCCTTCTGTCTGGCGAGATCACGGAAACGCTAGAGTTCACTTAGGACCCAGCAGGTGAAGCTGAGAGAGTAGGAAAGACTGAGGCAAAAAGGAAGGACCAGCTGCTCAGAGTGGGTTGGGAAATTGGGCGACATGCCCCATGAAAACCCCCAACACAGAAGAGTAACAGATGAACAAGGAACAGCTGTTCAGACCTGGAGGGCTTCCTGGAGGTGGTCTAGTGGTGGCTGCCTGATAAGCTGGGCAGGAGAAGGGAAGGGACATGGGTTGAGGGAGAGGAGTAAAGAGGTGGTCCAGTGAGGGCAAGGTCACAATAGGATGCTAACCCCAAGGTCAGTGCCGCATGTGGGTTAGCGC